CCCAATCACTGCTACATGTGGGACAAGTAAATTAGAATTTTGACACGACTTGCAGGAAAATTCGTACACACCACAAGCGGCCAGTAACTGCATAGTGAGTAGCATTTGGTGCAATCTGGAATCAGTACTAACCCTCCGAGTAACATTAACTTTACACTTTGCTGAATCTGCCAATACTGGTCAACTTCAGTCATTGTTCTATTTTTCATGCCATAATTCTCAATTAAAGTATAATTATACTACTTTCTATATATGAACATTACTATCTACAGACTGACAATGTTCCAGCCCTACCGTCTTTTTGCTATTCAAGCGCTATACATGTGCCTACATAAAGGAGGGGGAAAAACAAATTTAGCTTAACAACACTACAGTGTGATATTACCTAGTTGCTATATACATTATCCAACTCTACTGTTTATAATATTGCATATAAAGTTATCATCGTTTTCTCAACTTTCTTCGTATTCTTTCTTTAATGATTGTTGAACAGGGGGCCACGTCCTCGCTTGCCAGTCGTCGTAAATTTTAGTATCACTGAGGCCAAAGCAGGCTTCAATCTCCTTTGAGAATTTGCCAACCAACCATATCCAAAACTCTGATGCCGGAAGAGATTTTTCCCCAGGAATATCCCATTTTGGGTAAAAATTTTTGTACTCATTAAAGCGGTACCGTTCATTTTTGCGTTTGTCATTAAACCAGGGATTTGCGGCAACTGAGAAAGTGCAAACGTCCAGCGACATTCTTTGGTCACTTGAATAATGTACTCCTCCAAGGCATTCTGGGCGGTGTTTTACGGTATGCAGAACCGAGTCTGGATGTTTGGCATTTGTGTGGTCACATTGCTGCTTGCAGAATGGACACAACTCGGTACATCCAACTAACTCCTCAAATAGAGTGTCATATGGTTTTTTTGCCAACTTGTGACGAATCCATACATCTGCAGATAGATAGCTGAATTCATCTTTTAATTGCTCATGCAGTTTCTGAAGCCCTTTGACTACTTCATCTCCGAAAAATGTGACACTTTTCAGTATCGGATCATTTCCAAGCATTGTACGTAGTTTTGTTAGATCCATTGTTAGTTTTCCCCTCACTCATTGTGGAATTGATCTAACCAATCAATGATTAACACTGCCCTGTGTCACCTGAGTGATTTTTGAACGGGGAGTGTGCTCGCAAGCAACTTCGTGACTTTACCTGCCACCGTCCTTACTGTCATTCAATATAAGCAACAATTTCTCTGTGGCAATATTAGACACAACTGTAGGAGTACCTTTATTGCAGTATTCATCTGTGTATCTAGCAAGCCAGTACTCAAGACTTTTGTGACGATTTTTAAGGTAAAGAGCACATGGATCAAATTCGCATGGTTCTCTCAGAACGCGATCTGCTCAAGCTTTTCTCCAATATCATGGAGAACCTTTGTCCCTTAACCTTTTCTTACTTTTGAGCCAGTTAATTCATTTCGCATATTTTCACAAACAGCACTTTCCAATTTCAGAAGAACTTCCGTTTGAACTGCTTTTTTAAGATGTGAGCAGAGTGTTTCAGCAGCGGTCTTCTCCCTTTCAATGTCATTGTAGTTATCTTTAAACTGCCTTCCAACATTCTTCCTTTAATTCTGTTTCAAATGTAAACAAGTGGATCATGCCTTTTACGGAACGTTTGTTCATTTCTTCAATACCTTCTGTCCATAGCCGCAGACTGTAAGAGCCATTTCTACACTATATTCTGGTGTATAATCAAAGCTATCAGATGGTCTTCTGCATTTGTCGAATAGAGGTCAGGAGTTCCGATGTGTAATTTGGTTTAAAGTCTCTCCTGAATCTCGCTTTTTTGTGAGCCACTTGTCAACTTCTGTGAGACAACTGTCGTCTTTCTTGAGCAGGACGAATGTAGCGATCTACTCCTACCCATTTCCTCTGAACCACCAGTATTGCAAGGACTTGAGATGAACTGGCCTTATTTTCAGCGTAGAATGAACCCCCATTGCAACGGTTTCTCGTTTACTATCAAGTTGTGTAAGCTTAATCAACAGATGCTTGTGATAGGCTTTTAGGGTCTGGTATTCCCCTAACACAAGTCTCTACTTTCATTTTTATATTTGGAGGTTCTATTTCGTCGATGTTGGGTGTCAATCCGTTATCCATCTGACCCAACTCTGTTCAAATCTCTTTCTGAGTCGTTGCTCATTAAGTCGTCCCTTTCCAATCCGGAGCTACACGCTGCACATGCTCCATTATATCTGAACACATGTTTTCTATTTCGAATCTGCTCTTGCGCGGTTATTTCTAAAGTTGAACAACTGGTCACAGGTCTCAGCTGCATGCCTCTCCAGTTTTTTCTTCAAGTATTTGAGGTCACTTTCGGTCTCGTCCTTCCACTTTGCAATTGTTTCTTGCTCTGAGCTTTCATCAAAGTATTTGTCCATCATCCCTTTCAATTGTTTGTACTCATCATTGACAAACTCGGGGAGTTCAGCTTTTTTTGCTTGGTACTCAGCTGGAAGATTCTCCATCAAACAGCTCATTAGTATATTTTGGGCTTTCTGTTCCCATTCATCCATCTGCTTTTTAAAGCTGCGTGACCATTCACTGTATTCCTGTTCCAGTTTTGTGTAAGCAGCAACCTCAAATGTGTTTTTGAAGCTAAACACAAAGTTTCTTCGAGAATGGCTTTCCACAACTCTTCCAAATGTGTTTTTAGCTGCAAAACTGAATTATTACGGCTTTTTTGACTTTGCTCGACCCCTCTGATGAGGTAATGCTTAAGGGTCTGAGCTTCAATGCTGTAAAATTCACTAACATGGGCCATTGGCGGTCTTCCTGTCCACAGATCAGGAAAAAAGGAAACGTCCTTCTCATAATCAAATGTAATAACATCACAGAATAAGTTGGCAACTAATCCTGCTTGTTCAGCTGCCTTTCTTGTCATTGCATCCAATTTATCCTTTATTACAAAGCGACCCAGCATTGCTTTTTTATCTGCTGCAACAGCAGGCACATTTTGATGCACAAAGTGGCAGCTAGGTCTCGGCTTGACTTCATTCATTCTTAGAAATGCGTGAACAGTTGTTTGTAGTACATCATCCATATCTCCTGAAATCTCACCTTTGATATTAATGATGGTGAGATTTGCTAATCCAATGACAAATGTTGCCAGCTCATTGTCGTGTCTTTGCCTTTTCAGTGCATCAAGTTCTGGGGCACGTAAACCTTCTGTGTCAACGATGAGAAAGTACCGAAATCCACACTTCTCCTGTAAGGACTCATGAATTGGAAGCAGCTGCATAAAGGCACCACGAGTGCATCTTCCTGCACTCACACTGAACTGAACTCCAAAGATGGTGTTCAACATGGTTGATTTTCCCTGTGCTCTGTAGACCAAGAACAGACAGTACAAACAATTGTGGGGTGGAGGTGCCACCATTTTTCTGTTTAAGAATTTCTGAAAGCTTTTCCAAGACGCTAGAAACCCAATCTAGTGGTACATGCGCAGCATCTCCATCCATCAGTTCCAGTGGGAATCCATCAACCAAAAGCTGAGCTGCTATTTGAGGAAGTCGAGATATATTCCTCTGTAATTCCTCTGGTGCATCCTTTTGGGACGTTACTGCCTCATACAATTGACCAATTTCACGAAACATGTGCTCTGGTCCAAAAGAGGCATCTAGTATTTGCATGTTTAACTCATTCATTTGAGATCGACACATGTCTTCTGCATTTTTACTTTTCTTCTCTTGCTTTTGGATATTTTTCCTCTTTTGTTCATATTTGGTGTGAAGTGGTGGTAACAGCTCTCTTGAAAGGTCATCCAGATATGTTTTTAGCCAGTGCAAGTAGTACCAAGTAACCCTCCCCTCTGTGGTCAGTAGAGAAGTCAGGAATGATGTCATTAATTGGCTTAGCTTTTGCGATTGGAGATTCTGCCGTTTGCGGATTTGGTTCATTTTCTTTTTGCTGCAAACCAGAATACTCATACATTGACATTTGTCCTTTTAGAGTTTGCCGATATTGTTCTTTATCGTATTCACCATATTTGTGCCAGAGAGCCTTGCTTTGAAGGACCAGTAACTTCTTTGGGCTTTCATCGGGATCAGATTCTTTCAAATTAGCTACTATTTGGTGAAATTCATCTGCTAGTTCCTTTCCTTTACTGCATTCTCGTCCAGCTTCATCTACTTTGATACCACAGTCAGATGCAACACGTTTACAATCCTCAAGCGTAAGTTTAAGGTTGTGCATCAATTTACCTTTGATCATTTTCAGTATGTTCACTTTCCTACGATTTTCATTCATGGTGAAGAGCTCTATAATGCTCAGTTTCCACTATTTTTCACGCCTTATGACAACAATGCATTTTCAGTCACTCTGATGTTCATGGGTGTTGTAGAGATAACTGTTGAAAGCAGAGGCTAATGGGCTGCTCTTACCTGAAGCAGGGTGTATGCGTAGTGTCTCCAACAAGGATGCAATTAGGTTGTGGCACATAATTATTATGGTGGGGTGGTTTCATAGGCAGGCTTCAGTAATCAGACTACAATGAAAAGCACTGAAGTGCAAACCCTCAGCGCATTGTGATGCGCACGCGTAAGTAAACGCATGCGCAGTACCACTAATTGCTGGGCTGGGTTTAGTTTTAGCTGTTACTCGTGGTCTCTTGCAGGCTCGCGCAGAGTCTGACGCGGACTAACTACACTACTAGATAGCATACGAGAGGCGATACACGCCCTTCGTTGCATCTTCTGGTGCCTCCGAGGTACGCAGAGCACGCGGGTCGATCAGACCGCGGTAAGCCATCCCATCCGTTGCGTATTTGCATATTGGCTTTTTCGCGCTCTAGCTTTGCAACGGAGCAGTTTCAGAGAAAGCCCCACATATTTTCTGACCTTCGTTGCCCGTTAAGCAGGTCGTATCCTTTGTGAGACGAACAAACACCCGAGAAGTGAGATGCAGAGTAACGGACAGACAGACAGACAGACAAACCCAACTACTGTAACCCTCGCTGCGCATGCGCGCCGAGGGTTAATGATAGCTATAACCTGGGGGACAAAGAATGAAGGCGCTGTGCAAGGACCGCGTAACACGGTGCACAGTGCCAAGTTGCTCCTCGTGCAAATCAACAGCAAAACGCAAGCTAGCCAGTTAAAAATGTGTATACTGACTTACAGAAGGCACTGGAGGATAAGAATTCCTCTGCAGGCTTCCTGGCTTAGTCTGGTTCACGCACGAGTAATGCGCGCGCACCGCATATTGGGGAAACGCCCTCCTCGGCGCATGCGGCTCACTGGTGCTGAGTTAGCAGCAAATGGCGTTGTTCAGTGGCTACCGTGGAAGAGCTCAATGATCTACCGTAGTGACTTGCGGCAAGAAACAAGCGATCGCTTGATATGCGTGCACACCTCCGGAGAATTTTGAGACGTTCTGTGAAAAAATCAACGCTTCAACTGCTTCCGGTAAGGAGCTAGCGGGTCTGAAGAAGAAGAAGAAGATGAAGAATATTATGATGATGATGACACGGAAATCGCGTAAGAGCGAATTCTCTGGTGGGGAACTGAGGGCACGTAGGAAGTCTTGGGGCATATGTATAGTTAGGTATTGGCCTCTAGACTATTGCTAGTGATTTTGAAGCCATTCTCGCTGAGTTTTGAGACGTTTTGTACGCGGATCACGTGAGATTTCACTCGTGTCATCCCTATATAGAGCGTCTACTGACGCTCTGATAGAAAAATCGCGCCGTTGGGACCACTAGGTTAGCTCGCTCCCGCTCGCCAATAATAATTTTTATGACAAAGAGGATCCAGGGAGGCTATAAGTCAAGCTATGTACAATGTAATAAAAAAGCGGTATGAATAAAATGTGCCACTGCATCATTTATGTTCTTATTATCAGATTGTAGTAAGTATACGAATTTCTGCTCTGATGAAAGCCACTTATATCCAGGAAACGCTGCTTGCATTACTTGTTCCAGATTGTTACGTAGGTTTTCATACTTTGAACATTCGCATAGGAAGTGCTTCTCATCTTCTACAGATTTGCACTTGTGACACAGCCTCCCACGTTCAATTTCCAGACTGTGGCATCCAACTCTAAGCCGAGTCATAGAAACTCGGAGCGCTGCTGAAGTTATATTCAAAAGATAGGGCTCCATGCCAAACTCTTTCTTGAATAATCTGTACGATCTCAGTTTGTTTTCCCTCCCCCTTGTTCCAGCTCGGCCATGTCACCGTTCGGTAAGTGTTTGCTATGGCGCAACCTTCTGAATAAATGTGGTCAAACGGTGATGTGAACATAATTGTATTCTTTGGGCGTTTCTTTTTGATCAAAGAGAAAAAAAACCCGAACTGTCACGCGAAACAGTCAAAAAAAGCCCCCACAACAACCTGAATGCTACTACAGGCCCTTGCCACCGGCCACTATTCAAGATAGTAGCCATCATTTTCATCACCTGTTTGATTGGTTCTAAGTCGCGTACCCGGGAGCAACTGTTGGCGGTATAATGGTCGCGCAGAGATTGTGTCTGTGCTGTGGTTTTCCAAAAACATTACTCTGCTTTACCCGTTTTTATGTTCGTGACTGTGCCGTCACCGTCCTGTCAAGTCATTCTGCTTTCTGGATTCCTATCTCAGATTTTGGGTTAATGTTCTCTGGTGTCCTGCTCGCAATTGTGTTCCATCACGATCAGTTTCACAATTCCATCGGAACTTGCTGGGTGGCGTCTTAAAAAGGCTCAAGTTTGTCTCAAACAGGCTGCCTGTAAATTTCGTGCTTAGTGCGTATAAGGTATGGTCAGAATCTGTGTGCCCCTCCTCTTGAGCTTCTTTCTCAGATCCAAGGAAACATGCCCATATCCACCTGTTTCCTAAAGTCTAAAGTGCCGTCGCTACGGAAGCAGTTCAGGATAGAAATCTTACGGCGTAACCTAGCAACGGCATTGCCTCGCAAAGAAACCAAAACACTCTGGCTTGTCAACAGTTGAAATCCTTCACCACAACAAAGAGCTGGTAAGTCAAAGTTTCGACCATTGATGGCATCATTGGGGAGAATGATATTTCTGATTTTTGGATTGCTCTTTCAAACTTAAAAAAATTCCCTCAATACTCAACGTCCTGTTGCGTCTTGTGCCTTCCTTCCTCTCTTCTTGCTTTAATCCCTCACTGCTGCTTGCACCGTCAGCGTGATATTTTGTTGAGGTAGAGGATGAAGTTATTGATGCCTATTGGTTGCCCTTTATGCGAGCCTCTAAAGTCTGATGCCTTCTGGTATTTCTCTACTGACTTCTAAAGCATGGAACTCCGGTTGTGTCAGAGATTATTGCTGATCTGTTCACCGCTATTTTAAGGCATGGCTACATGCCAAAATGTTTTCTTGATAGTGTGCTGGTACCAATTCCTAAAAGTGGTAAAAACCTGTCTATCAGTGACAACTATCGGCCTATTTCTCTTGCTTCTAGCTTAAGCAAAATCCTGGAGCATATCATTCTTGACAAGTATTCACATTACCTGCTTAGTAACCAACTTCAGTTTTCAGTTTTTAAGTCTGGCTCTTCAACATCTCTCTGCACAGGTCTTGTAAAAATATTGTCTCAAGATACATTTTCAACGGTTCTACGGTGTTGGGCTGCTTCTTGGATGCCTCCAAAGCATTTGATCTGGTTGATCATGGTAAACTCTTCTCAAAGTTACAACATAGGGGCTTGCCTACTCAAATTCTTCGATTCTTGGTAAATTGGTATAGCTTACAGGAGATGAGAGTTCGTTGGGGTGATTGTTTTTCCGAACCTTTTGGTGTTTCAAATGGTGTAGACAGGGTGGAGTCCTCTCACCAGTTTTATTTGCTGTTTACTTGGATGGTTTGTTGGAAGAGTTATCAGACTCTGGTGTTGGTTGTTATTGGGGTCACATGTTTGCAGGAGCACTCTGCTATGCAGATGACATTGTTATCCTGGCTCCATGTGCGTCTGCTCTTAGACGGATGTTGGATATTTGCAGTTTATATGCTCATGATCATGGTTTGTTGTTCAATGCTAGTAAAACTCAGCTTATTTGTTTTCGTTCTTGCAAAAACTGTCGCTTTTTACCACTGATCACATTCAACAACACTGCTCTTCCATATAAAAATGAAGTCATACATCTTGGACATGTGCTATCCTTTGACCTAAACGATGGACCTGATGTAACCCGTGCACTCAAAAGATCTGAACCAAAAAGCTAATTGTTCTCTCTGTACTTTCTATTTTGCTGATAGTTATGTCAAATGTTTTCTTGTTAAGTTATATTGTCTCGCCCTTTATGGTTGTTGCCTTTGGCATTTAGGGTCAAAGAATTTGTACTCTCTTCAAACTGCTCTGAACAAGATCATGCGAAAAGTTTGGCACTTGCCCTCCCGTTGTCATGTTTCCATAGTACACTGTGTTGCTAAGACTACAAACATACTTCGAATAATTTATGGAAGATTTATTAAATTTTGTAATTCTGGCCTTATGTCAAATTCGTTATTTGTTTCGCGTATATTAATTTTCATGACTCATGTTTTTTAGCTTATACCTTCGTTGGACATAATTTCATGTTTGGTCATTTACTCTTACAAAATGAAGATCATGTTACAAATGTTTTAGTATTGTCAATAATGAAAACATTCCTTTGTTTGCCTGATTGGCTAGGTGCTTTTTGGCCACATGAAACTTTCCATTTTTTTGCAAACCATATCGCTCCCTAGATAGCTACTTGTAAGGACTGCACTTTTTCCAGGATATGATTGTTCAGTGAAAATACTTAGAATTTCTATCCCAAACCAAAGACACATATTTTGGTTTTTTCTGTGTTGACTTCTAGTTTCCTTCTTTGGGAAAAGTCTGATAAGGTGGTTATGTGTTTCCTTAGATCTACTGCACTTGAGGAAATGAGGACCACATCATCCGCATACATAATCATGTCCAAAATATTACCATTATACTTGATACAATTTGCTATGGTTTTCCCAGACTTTCTACATTTTTGGGGATAAAACTCTGCTTCTTGCTGCCACATTTAACTCTAATGCACTGACTAGCTCCCTTTTCCATGTATCAAGTCCTTGTTACAGTAGTTATGTCAGTGCAAGTAGAGGCTAGCTGAATAATACTCGCACTCACAGCGCTCACTCGGGTAGAGAAGGTAGGTAGTCGTGCGCGCACCAGATAGGTCCCTCTCTCACGTCGGTAAGGCGTCGTCGTCTCCCTTGGCGCTCACTCGGGTAGAGAAGATAGTTGAGAAGACAGTTGATACAGATAGGTCCCTCTCTCACGTCGGTAAACTAGTAGGCGAATGCATAGCATTTTTGGCGAGCGAGAGCGAGCACACAATGACTGTATCTGCATTAGCCATCCTAGCCTATTTACAACTTTATATATTGGTCAGGTATTGAAGAGCGCAGCGAATGCCAGCGAATAGACGAGAGTTCTTTCGCTGAGATTTCGCATCGATATGACAGCTAGGCAGCGTGTAAAGAATATGTGCGTTCCCTGCTCAGGAGTCTCACTGACACGATGTTCTCTTTCCCTCTCTCTTCGACGACGAATGGCTTCCTCTCAGACTGATGCGGAGCTACACACACATCAGGCAATTTTGGGATAAAAAAGAAGCGCGTAATCCTGGAGCATGCGCACTTACACGACGTACGCGGGTCCGAAAAATCGCGCCGTTTGGACCCACTAGGTTAGCTCGCTCCCGCTCGCCAATAATAACTAGTGAAAATGTTGAACATTGTTGGCGAGAGGGAGCGACCCAATTTGGATTTGCCCGGGATGTTCGAGCTGCATAACGTGCCGTCAGCGCACAGCTTTCCTTTCGTGAAGCAAGACAGATCTACTTGTCGCCGTTACGTGCGTACTGTATATTGCCAGAACGGTGAGCAAGTGAGCAGAACGGTACTTACCTTATGCTTTCAGATCGTCAGTCGTGGTCCACCAGGTAGCTGGCATGCAGCAGTATCTGCCCGAGCAATCCTATATAGCTCATTTCCAAGTTGCACCTTCGAACCACGAAGATTGGGAAGCGGGTACAGCCTCGGTCAGTCACCGAAGGTTCCAGCACACGCCGTCGAATGGAGAAGAGTTCTCTCGCTGGCTAGATCGATCGGCGCATATCGCGAGGCAGGCAGCGTGTGTGAAAACGCGTTGAAAGCGCTTAAGAAGTCGTGCATGCGCACTTACACGGCGTACGAACGATAAAAGAAAAATCCGCTCGATCCTCTGTCGTATACTGTATGTCCCACCCCGATATATGTATCGTGCATATTCACTGTAAGTCAGTCAGTCATCATGATCATGATACTTGCCTATGATATGTGATTACTGGATACTGTACACTCCTACACTTACTGGATACTACACTCCAGTTTGTTTTTTAAACACATTCTTAACATCATTGAATGTGTAATTGTCTGGGGTCCTCTTTTCTTGAATCCAATTTTTGTACCATTCATTGTTGCATTTATTCAGACGATTCATGTTCTGATTACTCTTTTTATGTGGCAAGTGCACAACAAAAGCATCGGGAAAGACGATGAAATTGTATCCAGCCATGTGTACTCTATGCTATGGCTGATTTTGTTCACGAAATCGAGCGACGAATATGTGATCGAATGAGATGACAGATGTCTTGAGCAAATATGTATGGTTCATACTTTCCCTCCACGTGACCAAGTAGGTATTCGTGGCACTAATCCACTTCTGGTAGTCAGTCCGTATCATGACCCTCTTTGAAGGCCTTGAGCCTAACTGACGTACCCTGCCCCCTTTGTAAGACCAATCATCTCTGATTTTCTGTGTGGGACAGTGAAGTTAGTGTTATCTGACTCAATGCAGGGAGACAATTGCTTTTTTGTCCATATTCCAAACACATTTGCTTCTAGTTTTCTTTTTCAGGATATCGTACAAACACAAGACGAGATGAAGTCGACATCGAGAATAAACATGAAGGGAGTAGACACAAACCTGTGAGCAAGTTCACGTCCATGGTTGGGAGGGTACGAAGGGCCAACTGTAAACAATAGATGGTAGTCACATTCACCTGTGGTTGCAATGACTTTGAGTTGAGGAGGAAGCTGACCACCCCCCTCCACCTGATAGTCACTCAGGTGAATGGTCCACACTGCTGGCTTCCGTTCCAGTCTCCAGGATCTGCCTCCAGCAGACTCAGTCTGTTGTAGTCGCAGATGGGTGGTTAGTGTCACATCGTACTGCCCACTTGACTTGTAGCTGTGGCCCAGCAGAAGGGCCAGCTCTCGTCTGTGGGCCTTTCTCTCTCCCATTCAAACAGTTGTGCATTCGTCCTTCTTTGACGGTGCTTTGCGGACCAAAGATTTCACACCCTTGAGACATTTTCCCCATCTTTCTGTACCTAAAGAGCTCTCGCGTCATATTCCAGGGCTGTGCTACATAATGTCCCATGTTGCTTCCTAAATAGAAAAATTCATCATCATGACCTTGTCTGCATATCTGCTACGCTCGGTTTACAATTATTATGTCTGGGTATGTGTTCTCTTCTCCTCATGTTTTTGTAGGCAAACCAAAGCAATACACCCCACCCTGTAAGCTCAATATCACTTCCTTGCTACAGTATAAACGACACGGCGCACTTGCTCTGCACACAGTGATAGATCCATTGAAACGTGACTTAGTCAGAGCCCACAGCTGCGCAAGTCAGTGTGACGACTGAGGCTGGCTCTATAACTATGACATGTGGACGGTGTTGGGCAAGACCAGTCAGATTTAGGTGAATGGAAAGGGATCAGAGAGCACTGGATATTAGAGCCTAATTTGATGTTGTCAAGGCATGGGAAAGGTCTTAGTAGTCATGTGAAATTGCTGGAACAAGCCAAGTACTCATCATTGTGTGGAGAACAGTCTTAGCTCTGTCGTCAGTGATGAGTGGAAATGAAGTAGAGGTCGAACAGTGCATGAGGACCGATTTGATCGTCGTGTACAGTGTCTGCTAC